CCACTGGCCCACGGACCCCACGGGGCCCACGGACCCCACTGTCCCCCCCACTGTTCCCGCTATCCCCTCACCACTGTCCCCCACCACCACCGTCCCCCCCACCCCCCCCGGTTTTTTTCCGGAGCCGGGGGTGGGGGGGGGGGGGGTTCGAACCGGTAGTACCCCCCCCCCCCTATTCATGATGAGCAGGGGGTGGGGAGGGTTCGAACCGTAGGTGACCACCCCCCCCGGTTTCCGGAGGGGGGGGGGAGGAGTTCGAACCGGTAGTGACCCCCCCCGGTTTTCCGCCAGCAGCGGTAGAACACGCTCTTTCTTACATGAATACCACAGGCAATGTTTCCAGCTATGCTTCTACACGTCGCTGTTAGGTTGTTTTGCCGGGATATTCTTTTGACGGCGCGAGGAGGTCTTGGTTTTTAATCCGTTTAAATGAATTTTTCAATGCCTTAAAAGTGCACGCAGTATCGCGCGCATGTTTTTCGCATAGATTGGGGTTGCGAGTGCGCCGTGGAGGCGCAGATGTCTTCTGTTCGGTAACGTTGCCTCTTCTACTGCACAGTAAAAGGGGCGGCCGCCGCGCCAGGATGCCAGCCGCATTTTTTCAGAGGGGGGGTCCTATGACATGCGACGGGGAGTCCTGCGTGATCGCGCAGGCAGGCCCCGCAGCCCACGCCTTGTCGACAGCGCGGAGCGGAGCGGCGCCAGGCCGCCCGGGCTTGGCCGGCCGCGCGCGCGAGTTGGGGCGCGCCCAGGGTTGCCCCCCTTCGGACTGCGCCTCCCCGGGCATCCGCGCGCGTGGCCCCGCGGGGGCGGCCCCTGCCGGGCGGGGGCCGCGCCTCCAGGGGCAAGGCAGAACGACCGCTCCGCGGCCGCGCGCCCGCCCGGGGGGGCGCCAGAACGGCCGCCCTGCGAGAGCGCGCCGGCTGAGGGGAACGCCGGCCCGGCCTGCTGGAGGGAGCGCGCCCGGGGGGCGCGCGCTGGCGAGGTTCCACGGCGCAGCATATTTTGCACGTCAGGAAAACAGCTCGCCAAAACATTTCGGGGGGGCACCCCGCGGGCGGCCGAGATGGTGTCCTGCTTTCTGTATGTGTTGACAACATACGTTCGATTATCTTCGGGCTGGAAGCATCAAAAACATGTTTCGAACGCAGACGAAACATTAGTTATGATTATGAGATGTTGTTTTCAACGTTTCAAAACAAATATCATGATTTTTGTTCTGCGCGCCTGGGCGTCCCCCCGCGAGAATGCGCCGTTTTTTTACGCGCACGCACTCACGCACACGCGCGCGCGCACGCACGCACGCACGCACGCACGCCCGCCCGCACGCACGCACGCACACACGCGCACACACGCACCCACGCACTCACGCACTCACACGCACTTACACGCACACACACATACCAATGTGTATATTTACATACTTATATATCTACATTTACATATACATATACATACACATATACATATGCATATACATATACATATACATATGCATATGAATGCACATCTACATCGACATGGAAATCTACATATGCATATTCCTATTTATATTTTTTACAGGGCCGGCGACCCCGGAAAAACGGCACACGGTCCCCCCCCCCCAAAACGATTTTCGGCCTCCCCGAGCCTCTGGGGCGCTCCTGCAGAGTGCTTCCGTGGATCTCTGGTCCTCCTGGACTCCCCAGGCAGGTCTGTCCTGCGAGTCCGACGCGAAAAAAGAAGCCCCCACGACTGCCAAAGAGGGCCCCGAGACACCCAAATATCGGCCCAAGACGCCCAATATGGGCCCAAGACTGCCCAAGAGGCCTCCAAGACGCCCCAAGAGACCCCCAAGAGGCCTCCCAAGAGAGCCCCGAGAGGCTAAAATGGTTGATTATCCTGTGTGTTTTTCGATGTTTTTGGCCTTCTCGCTTTTTCCGCTTCCCCACGCTCCAACACGGCCCAAGAGGCTCCCTAGATCGCCCCAGTATTGCCCAAGAGGCCCCCAAGAAGGCCCCAACACGGTCCAGGAGGGCTCCAAGACCGCCCAAGAGGCGCCCAAGGCGGCCCAAGAGAGCACCAAGACGGCCCCAAGAGAGGCCCAAGAGGGCGCCCAAAAATTCAAAACTGAGTTTTCCGCCGCGAGAGGGCCCCGAGAGGCCCCAAGAGGGCCCCATGAGGCCCCAAGAGGCTCCCCAGAGGCCCCAAGGAGTCCCCAAGAGGTCCCCAAAAATATCCCAAGAAGCCCACAAAACACAGCCCCCCCAAGACTCAAAAAATTCAAAAAAAAAAAAGTCCACAAAAACAAAAAAAAAAAAAAAAAAACAAAAAAAAAAAAAAATTTCAAAAAAAAAGCAAAAAAAAAAGAAACTGCCATCCTCCCCAAGGGCCCCAGAGAAAAAAAAAGAGCTGCACCACTAGAATCCAACACATACGCGGTCTCCCCCTACCCCCGTAATCATAATCGCCCTTCTCTTTTGTCGGGTCGCCTTCTTTTCGTTCGTCGTCGTTGGTCGTCGTCCCCATCCTCTTCCTCGTCTTCATCCTCCTCCTCCTCCTCCTCCTCCTCCTCCTCCTCCTCCTCCTTCTCCTCATCCTCTTCAGCTCTTCCGATTCAGCTCAATCGGCACAGGACTGAGGAGGAGAAACAGGAGGAGAAGCAGGAGGAAGGGGGGAAAAGAAACGGGCACAGAAAAATACGAGGACACATAGAACGAGGAGCAGATAAAGGAGCGCGGAGGAGAAGTAACGATTACCACCAAGCTAGCAAACGAAGCAAGGGGAAAAGGATGAGGAAGAAGCAGTAGTCGAACCCGCTTCGCTTTGGATTTCTTTTTATTTTTTTTTTTTTTTTATTTTGTTTTTCTGTTTGTTTTTTTTTTTTTTTTATTTTTATTTCTTTTTTTTTTTTTTTTCTTTTTTTTATTTTTTTTTTTTTTTTTTTTTCTTTTTTTTTTTTCCACTCGCGATTTCCATTCGTTTTTTTTTTTTTTTTTATTTTATTTTATTTTTTTTTTTTTTTTTTTTTTTCTTCTATTTTTTGTTTTTATTAATTTTTTTTTTTTTTATTTTTTTTCATTATTTTTATTTTTTTTTTTTTTTTTTTGTTTTTTTTATTTTTTCTTTTTTTTTTTTTTTTTTTTTTTTTTTTTTTCTTTTAATTCATTTTTTTTTTTTTTATTTTTTTATTTTTTCATTTTTTATTTATTTTATTATTTTTTTCGCTCCACAAATGAGAAACATTCGCAAAAGCGAACTCCGACTGCGGAAGTGCATTGCTCCATAGTGTTCCCGCTTTCTTCGCCTGAGACATTCTTGCAGACCTTCCGAGATGCGCATGTGCATGCACGCCCAGGGCTGCGCAAACGATTTGCGTATACGTGTACATACCCTTGCACGCGTACGTTCATATTCACAAATGCAACGTGTACGTATGGGCGCAGATGCGCGCGCATGTACGCACGCACGCACTCCGCTAGCTTGCGAAACTCAAGGACCAAGGTGCATGGCGCGCAGCGCCAGTGCAGTCTTGTATATATATATATATATATATATATATATATTCTCATACGCACCTCTCCGAGGGAGTAGAGCTCAGAAGCGATTAGTGCGCACGCGTCCGCGATTTTTCTGGGCGCCTCGCTCGGTACATCCTCGAAATTCTGAAAATCGGTGGCACACCTCACGCAGATCGTGACGTCAGGGTCCAAACACACATGGGAATTTCAACATGTTAACATAAAACCTTCAAAAACACATGGTAATTTCAATAATTGCGACCCCGATTCTCAGGGAATGGCGGTTTCGCTTGAACAATCCTTCCAAAATCGAGCCCCAGACCCCGCCTCGGAGCCTCCTGGGGGCCTCCTGGAACCTCCTGGGGCCTCCTGGGGCTTTCTGAACCTTCTGGCACCCCAGACCCCGCCTCGGAGCCTCCTGGGGGTCTCCTGAAACCTCCTGGGGCCTCCTGGGGCCTCCTGCGGCCTCCTGGAGCATCTTGGGGCCTCCTGAAGCCTCCTGTGGTCTCCTGGGGCCTCCTGAGGCCGCCTGGGGCTTCCTGGGGCCTCCTGGGGCTTCAGAACTACATGCACACAGAGACACAAATCACGCCCAACACATCACACGCTAGACAAACATAACACACACACACACAACACCTACAACACACAAAAAGCACGCACCACACGAAGCATACATCACAAACACACACACACACACGCACAACACTCACAATCCTGGGGCCTCCTGGAGCATCTTCTGGTATCCAAGTCGGGCCTCCTGAGGCTTCCTGGGGGGTCCTGGTACACACATCGCAAGGTGTGGCAACCCCACTTGCGCTCGAGTGCGACTTCGATGTTGCATTTCACTCCTGCTTCAAACGCCCCTTCAGTTTTTTTATGAGCCTGGGCACACACGTGCCACTTGTGTGGTGTGTAAATATATATATATATCTATATATATGAACCTTCCAAGAAAACCTATGCGGAGTCCCCTGATCGTGCGCGACGCCAGTTGAATGGAATAACGGTGAGTTACATCCATCTTCCGTAGCTGTGTTGGCTAGAGACAGGCAGCGGAGTCACCGGGCGGTGCCGCCCGCCTGTGGCCGCTGCCGAGCCACTCTGTCTACTGAAAGACTGCCGCGCCGCGCGCGGCCGCCTGCAGGGCCACGCTCGGACGACTGATTCTGATCAGCCTCGCTGGCAGCCTTGGCGGGTTGAGGGGAGCGAAGACCTGGCTGGGAGACGAGGATCCCGGGCGCGGGTCGCCCCTCTCCCGCTTTGCTGCTGGCGAGGAGCCCGATGGAGCGGGCAGCCCCGGCTGCCGGCGGGTGGCCCTTCCCGAGAGGAGCCTGGCTCGACGCGGCGCTGAACGGCGAGCTGGTGCCGGGGCTGCCGCTTGGGGCTGGTGCACGGGTCCTGGCGCGGGTCTAGGGCGACTTCGGGGCGCCGCAAGGCGTCGAGATGCTCGAGATAGAGGTCGCCTACCAGGCGGACGCTTTCGGCAGATTCTTCTAGGCCCGGCATGTGGGCGCCAGCGACCCGCACTTCTCATGGTATGCAGCATCCTGCGGGCAGCGGGGCGCACGCCCCCTGGCCACGGTCTTCCACCTCTGCAAGTGCAGCGCCAACGAGTGCGGGGCGGTCGCTCCAGTTGGCGCTGTGGTCGAGCACTTGGACGTGTGGCAGGTGGTGGACCCCCGCGACGTGGCCCGCGAGCAGGCAAAGCTCATCTGCCCAGCAGCGGATCCTGGGGCGCCTGTGCTGACCGACGCGCCCTCAGCCGAGCCATTGCCTGGAGAGCTCAGCGGCTGGCCGCTCGGGGATGGGGGCAACGAAGACGTGGAGGAGCCTCGCGGGCCTCCGCACTAGCGTGCCCGCGAGGCGGAGGGCACCCAGACCCCGGGCGGTCCAGGAGAGGCGAGCCCACTCGACCAGGAGATCGCAGGGCTCGAGGAGACCGCCGTGGACCCCGAGCTCGAGGCGCGGCTGGTGCGGCTAGGGGGCAGGGCAGCTCGTGGTGTGCCGAGGCAGGGCACGCCCAAGAGCGCTGCGCGCCCGGCAGGAGCCGTAGGCGAGCGCCTGGCACAGGTGGTTGCTGGCCGAGCCGCCGCTGCTGCCCCTGCGCGCACTGGCGCCTCGGGGACGAGGAGCAGGCTGGCATCGGCCTTGACCGCGGCGCTCCTGGGCCGCGACAACGACGACGCGGAGGACGGCGCAGAGAGCGACACGGAGCGCCTAGGGGGCCGCGACTGCTACCAGGGCGTGAACATCAAGCGCGATTTGTTCCGCAGGATCGCTCGACAGCGGCCCGGCGCTCTCCTCGAGAATGGGCTTGGCCACCTGCGCAGCCAGTTCACTCAGCAGTTGTCCGCAGGCGAGGCCGACCCGCTGGCCCCGTGCGTCACACAGTTCCTGAACACGGAGTTGATCGTTGCTCACCCGCCGCGGAGGCTGGGGACAGACGAGGTGCGGGTCCTCCGCACGCTGGGGCTGGTGCTCGACGGGATCCTGCGCGGGGAGGTCGTCGAGAATGCGGATCTGCTCATGCAGGAGTTCAAGGCGCGGACGATGGCCATCCGCGACGGCAACTGGCGGTCGGCACGATGGCTTACGCTGGTCGCGCAGGAACACCTTCCGTCAGGCGCCTCTCTGGACGAGGAGAACGCTGCCGAGAAGGCCGAGGCCCGGGAGCTGAAGGTCGTCGAACTCCGCCGGCGACTTGCAGACCGCAGGCCGGGCTAGGGGTTCGGCCGGGAGCCGTCTCCGTTGCAGGGGGGGACGGCATCTGCAGGCCATGGGCGCGCGGAGGCGCGCCCCCCGCCCCCTGCTCCCGGGGCGCCAGTCTCAGGATCGCCCGAGGCGATGAGGATCCTTGCCGGACGAGACCCAGGCGGCGGTCCCGCAGCTCCCCCCGCCGGGAAGAAGCCGCCAGCAGCGCGGAGGACCAGCCGCAGTCCCTCGCGGTCGGTCCAGCTCCTGAGCGACTCCGAGGGGGACCTCGACGCAGCAGCCGCCGCCCGCGTGCCACCAGCGGACGCGGCTGCAGGCCGGAGCTTCGCGCAGCACAAGGCGGCCCACCCAAGGCGCGAGGGCGAGACCCAGGCAGCGTGGAAGGCGCGCATCGAGAGGCCGCTGGCTGCCAAGAGCCGCGGCAATGGCAAGACGGGGAAGAGCCGCGGCACGAGCACTGCTCGCAGGACAGCCTGGGTTCGGGCGTGAGGGCCGACGCTGCGGAGGCCGCGGCCTCGCGCACGCCCCCGCCTGCCCTCCGCCCGCCTGAGCGGCAGCTACGCGGCAGCTCGCGGGCTCGGCGGTGGCGCCAGATGCTAGCCGAGGTGAGCACAGGTGTCAGCTCCAAGTTCAGGCTCGCCCTCGCGGTCCACGAGGCGGTGCACGGTTCGCCAGGGGCGATCGGGCGGTACGTTCGTAAGATGTGCACTTCGCCAGACCCCACGGCCAGCTTCGCGCGGCTGCGCGAGGTGTTGCCGTTACCGTTGCCCGACGCCCCACTCTTCGAGAGGTACCGTGCCGCCGGGTACTTGCACCAACAGTTGCCGGAGACCTGCGAGGTGGACGCCGCCACGGCGCAGGGGTGGGCCCAGCTCGTGGTCTTCAGCCTGAACTACCAGTACACGGGGCACATGCGTTGTCCAACCGTCGCCGCGAGGCGGCCCACAGCAAGTCAGACCAGTGCGCTCGGCATTGTGCAGGAGGCCTGTGAGTATTTCGTTCAGGATGCCGCCGCAGCGTTCGAGCTCCCAGACTGGGACCAGGTCATCGCGTCGAAGACCGTCTCCTACGGGGGCGAGGAGACGTCCCGCGCCCTGGCGCTCTCGCTTGCAGGCATCATGCCAGGCCTCCCCGCGCAGGGCGTCACCGCATCGGTCAAGGCAGTCGACATCGCGGACGCTCAGGTGGGCGCCTGGCTTGCCGACCCCACGCTGGCTTTGCTCCCTCGGGATGAGTGGCCTCCTGAGGTCCCGCGGGCGGCGATCCAGGTCACGTCCAAGCAGGAGTGGAACCGTATCGGGGCCAAGCTCGTCGAGCGGGGGCTGGCTGCGCCGATCGCCGACGACCGCATCTTCAAGGTCGGGAACCGCAAGGTGCTCGCTGGGGCGTTCGGGGTCGCCAAGGGCGGCACTCCGTCACCTGGCCAGGCGTGCGTCCAGCGCCTGATCATCAACATGGTCCCGGCCAACAGCTACCAGCACATCATGAGGGACGACATTGGGACCCTAAGTGCATCGCCCTCGTGGGTCGCCATCCCGCTCCCAGAGGGCCACATGCTGCTCTGGTCCTCAGATGACCAGGCCTCCGCTTTCTACTGCTACGGGCTGCCCGAGGCCTTGCAGCCATACATGGCCCTCGCGGAGGCGATCCCGATCGAGGTCATCGGTGTGCCGGGTCCAGGGGAGACACACTTCGCGCTGCGCGTCATCCCGATGGGCTGGATCTACGCGGTCACGGTGCTTCAGCACTGCCACAGGCGCCTCGGGTTCGGCTCTCGCCCCCTCGCTGCGGGGTATCCCGCGCATCTCGAGTGGCGCAAGGAGCGCCCACTTCCGTTCGAGTCGAAGGAGCTCGAGCAGCAGTGGATCCAGTACTACATCGACGACTGGGACCATGGCGAGGTGGTGCCCAACGCGATGGTCGCGGAGCTCCTCGGCACGATGAGCTTCGCGCAGGAGGAGCAGAGGGCCGCCTACGGCCGCTCGGGGATCAGCGTCGCCCCCGGCAAGGCCAAGCACCGCGCGCTGGTCCTGGAGCGGATGGGCGCGGGTCTTGACGGGGCCGTCGGCCGGGTCGGAGTCACGACCGAGAAGCTGCACCAGCCGCTGGCGTTCATCCTGTGGGGCATGGGCAGACAGGGGCTCTCGTCGCAGGGCATGCTCATGATCCTGGGCAGGTGCGTCAGGGCAGCGGAGTTCAGGAGGCCTTTCATGGGGTTCCTCAACAGCGTGTGGGCTGCTGGGCGCTGGACGCGACCGCAGGCTGTTCCCCGTGGCATGTACGACGAGCTCTTGGGCTTCGCGATGGCGCTGCCGCTGGCATACACCGACCTGCGCGCAAAGATCGACACTTGTGTCATTGCGACCGATGCCAGTGAGCGCGCTGGGGGCATCTGCCACACGGCTGGGCTCTCGGCGCAGGGCGTTGCCTGCGCGAGGGGGGGAGCTTCAGCAGTGACTTTGCGGCCTGGTGCAGTTGCGGCTCCTGTGCGCGGTGTGCGGTGGCGCCCTCGCATAGTTCTCATCGAGCTCTTCGCAGGCGCTGCTGGGGCCGCGGTGGCGGCCTCCAGACTCCCGATCGACGTGATCGCCCACGTCAGCTGCGAGGTTGAGCCCGCTGCCCGGCGACTGGTGCGTCGCCGCTGGGCGGGCGTGATCGAGCTTGGCAACATTGAGGCCGTCGACACGGAGCGGTTCACTGAGATGCTGAAGGGTTATGCGCGGGACACCGACTGGGTCGTCTTGACCGCGGGAAGCCCGTGTCAAGATCTTGCAAGCATCAATGTCGTGGGGACCGACCTAGAGGGGTCGAGGTCGAAGCTCTTCTTCCGGGTCCCCGAGCTGATCCAGGCAGCGGAGGTTGCCTTTCCCAAGCGCACCATGTGGTTCGTCGAGAATGTGTTCAGCATGACCCTGGAGTCGAGGGCGGAGATCACCAGGGCGCTGGGAGTCACGCCCGTGTTCCTCGATGCCAGGGGTCACACTCACGTTAGGCGGCCCCGCCTGTACTGGTGCTCGTGGCCCGTCACGGCGTTCTTGGCGTCCGACGCCACCGTCGGGACCAAGGGTGTGGGTGAGGCCGCGTACTTCAAGGTCTCGCTTGTGGTGGAGAGGCTCCCACTGAGTGCCTCGCTCTTGGAGGGCTGGTCGACGCTGGACCCTGAGGCGGACCTCCCGTGTTTCACGAGGCCGATCCCGCGACGCCACGCGCCGTTCCGGCCCGTGGGCCTCGACCGCGCCTCGGTGCTGGTCGCGGAGGGCTGGGCTGCCGACAGCTACCGCTACCAGGTCAACAACTCCGGGGACGGCAGCCTCATCTGGGACGTGAGGCGTCAGCGGGGCCAGCTGCCCGTGCCTGAGGCGAACTGGAACGTGGTCCCCGATTTCCAGCAGCCAGGCCATCGCGACCCGCAGTTGGAACGCAGCCTGATTGTAGAGTTCCTGAGGGTCGCGGACCGCGGGGGCACGGACGTCGGGCTTGACACCGGGGCGCCCTACCGCGCCCGCGCGTGGCCGCGGGCAGCGCTCCGTGCGCACCTCTGGGCCTGGCGGATCGCCAAAGGCTTTCGCTGGCAGCGGCCCGGGCACATCTCGGCGCTGGAGCTGGAGGCTGCGGTGGCTGGAGCGCGCTGGAGGTGCCGAGCAGTTGAGAACCACCGCTGCCGCTACCTGCACATTCTGGATGCCCGAGCGATCGCGGCAGTCAGCACCAAGGGCAGATCGAGCGCGAGGGCTTTGCAGCCCGCGCTCCGCCAGCTCAACTCCCTGCTCCTCGCGACAGCAGGGTACCCGCTGTACGGGTACTGCGACACCGACGACATGCCCGCCGACACGCCGTCCCGCTGGAGCTTCGGCCGCCGCTGCCACGCTCCCAGTGCTGCCGCCGGCAAGAGCCAGGAGAGCCGCCCCCGGCAAGCGTGCAGCGCAAGCAGCAGCAAAGGTGAGCCGGGTCACGGCCCAGGCGATGGCGCGGCGAGCTGCAGCGAGGTCCTAACCGCTGAGGGAGGCGATGGTCACGCCGCTCACCCTGCAGCGGTACCGTGTGGCGGTCGGTGAGGTCGTTGATTTCTGGATTCAGGAGCACCGGCAGCCGCAGACGCCCGCTCAGGTCGACGCTGGCGTGGCCGCCTTCATCGAGAGCCGTTGGCTGAGCGGAAGATCTTTGTTTGAAGTTAATAATGCTCTTGCAGGCATCACGCACGCTTTCCCGCCCGTGCGAGGGCACCTGCGGGACAGCGGACGTTTGGCCAAGGCGTGGCAACGCCTGGAGCCAGCTGGGCATGCGCTGCCGATCGGTCCGCTGATCGCGGCAACGTTCGCAGGTGCATTCGCGGCCGTGGGCCAGCTTGGCGCTGCGGCAGTGCTGGCAGCAGGCTACGGCGCTTTCCTCCGGACGGATGAGATTACCTCGCTCGTGCGGTCTGATGTGCAGCTGTATCCAGTCCGCCATATGGCCGTGCTGCAGCTGCGCAACACCAAAAGCCAGCATCAGACTGGTGCCCGAGAGTTCATGCTCGTGCGAGCGGTGTAGCGGTCGCCCTCTTGCCAGAGCAAAGCTCAGGCGCACGGACAGGACTTGTGCCTCAGGATGGAGCCAAGCAGGTTCATGAGCACTTTCGGCCGCGTGCGTGAGCTGCTGGAGCTGCAAGATGCCAAGCTCACTCTTTACAGCTGGCGTCGGGGCGGCGCCTCCGCCGACTTCCGCAGCCACGGCTCCATAGAGCAGACGCTGCTCCGAGGCAGATGGGCCTCGGCGCGCACGGCCCGCTGGTATGTCCAGGATGCCGTCGCCGAGGCCACTCAATTAAATCTCTCGCCTACGCAGCGGAGGCGCTGCGGCCTGCTCGCGTCCCGCCTGCGAGCAGAAGCGAGATGAACTGTTCTTGCTTTGTACTGCCTGTCTGTCTGTCCCGCCCATCCTCCACCTTTCTTCCCTCATTTCATTACAACAAGGTGGAGGGCATAAGTAAGAGCAAGAGGGAGCGGCTTTTGCCAGGGTAGGGACCGTGGAGAGAGCTAGGGGGTTCAGGGGTTGGTGACGTTTAACCTCCCGGCGGGGCAAGGGCCCAGCGCGTCTGGGACGCAGCGCGGGTGCTTAAGCGCCACGGCTGTGCCAGGCGGGTTGGGAGGCCCTTGGAGGCCGCTGAAGGGACGGGACCTCTCCCAACTCCTGGGTTGACCCCTGAGTAGCCCCCAGAGGTCCTGGCCTGACAAGCTCCCTGGCGGAGTGCACAAAAACAGGTGAGAGAAGCATATATGAACCTTCCAAGGAAACCTATGCGGAGTCCACCTGAGCGTGCGCGACGCCGTTGATGGATAACGGTGAGTTTCATCCATCTTCCGTAGCTGTGTTGGCCCACCCACAGACAGGGGGCAGCATTGCTACCGTCTCGCGCGTGGCCGTGCCTGCCTCCGCGCGAGTTTTTGCCAGGACGAGAGCTAGGGGGTTCAGGGGTTGGTGACGTTTAACCTCCCGGCGGGGCAAGGGCCCAGCGCGTCTGGGACGCAGCGCGGGTGCTTAAGCGCCACGGCTGTGCCAGGCGGGTTGGGAGGCCCTTGGAGGCCGCTGAAGGGACGGGACCTCTCCCAACTCCTGGGTTGACCCCTGAGTAGCCCCCAGAGGTCCTGGCCTGACAAGCTCCCTGCGGAGTGCAACAAAAACAGGTGAGAGAAGCATATATAAATATATATAATTATATAATATATATATATTTAATATATATATAAAGCGTATACCAAACTGCAGTGGCGCTTCGAGCCATGTACCTTGGTCTTTGAGGCTCTGCATCTGTTGGTCGTTCGCGCCATCCCTAGTGGCCTTGGAAATTTGGCCCCTTCCTTGCAGTGGTTTTCGGAAGCCTTCGAAAGTTCGGGCGGCTCGTGGCCCTTCCCAGGCCTCCAGGTGCCCCCGAAAGGCGCCGGGTGGAGGGCGGAGGATAGGAGGGAGGGAATCTCGGGGAGCGAGGAGAGGGAAGCGGATGTGGGGGAGGACGAATGCTGGAACGGCAGAAAGAGGAAGAGGAGGAAAAGGAGGAGGAGGAGGAGGAGGAGGAGGAGGTAGAGGAGGCAGTGAATGACGACAAAAGGCGTTCGTAGGCCCGCACATTGGCCCGCCTGTGGCTCAGGTGCCCTGACCGACGCTATGTCAAACAATGCCGCAAAATACGAAGTAATGCCAAGCCGAGGATGTCATGTGGCAGCGGGTCGCAATTGGGCACGCAAAAGTTCAATGGATCCCGGGAAATTCAATGAATCCCGGGTTCGCAACAGATATCCGGAATTTGTGGTTGCGCACCGGGGATTCGGGTCAGTTTGGTAGAAAATGCCGTGTGGGCCTTGTTGGAGCCTTGGTGGGGCCAGGTCGGAGTCGGAACCCTCTCGAACCTTCCTGGGGCCATCTTGGGCCGCGTTGGGGAGTTTGGGCTTTTTAGGGGGCCTTGTGGGAGCCACGCGGGCCCTCCTGGTGGCCTCCCATGGCCTTTTCGTGGGCTTCCCATGGCCTTCTAGGGCTTCTCTTGGGGGCCGTGTGAGGGCCTGTTGGGTTTCTGTTTGGCCCATTCGCGGCTTCTCGGGGCAATCTTGCGGCCATCCAGGCCGTCTAGAGGCTCTCTTGGGGGTCGCTTGGACAGTTTTGCAGCGATGCCAGAAGCCTTTTGGCTTGTTTTGGACGCTGCTGAGACCCGGATAGCGAATATGTTGAACATGCACGTTTCCCCAAAGGGATGAAGCGATTTCTGCGTTTTGGGAGTGTTGTTGAGGGCCTCTTGGGCCGTCTTGGCGGCCTCTGGAAGCCATTTGGGTCCTTCTTGGAGCGCTGTTGTGCTGTCTTGGGTCTCGTTTCGGTCTATCTGATCACCGCTCTGATCGCGTGGGGTCTGTTGGCAAGACCTGGCTAAGCGCATTGGGAAGTCCTGGGCGAGCCGAGGGGCCTTTGGCAAGGGGGCGTCCGGGGGGCCCGGAATCCCCGGATCCTGAGGGTACGTTGTTTTGTTAAGGGGGTCCCACCCCCCGGTTTGTGAAACAATAAGTGTCTATATGTGTATACATACACACACACACACACACTTATTTATATATACCTATAGGTATGTATGTACGTATGTGCTTGTGCATGTGTGTACGTATGTATGTTTGTAGGTATGTCTGTGTGTATGTGTGTACGTGTCCAGAACTGCCTTCGCGGGGCAGGCTCCCAGCCCGAGTTCCATCTGCTTCCAAGTTCAGGTCCGCCCCTGGCATCCGTGTTCAGAAGTCCAGGTCCGCCCCTGGCATCCATATCCCAAGCCCTGGTCAGCCCCAGGCACACAGAGGCTCCCGCGAATGTCGGCTCGTCGTGGAGGTGGCGCTGCTGACTTTGCTGTTGCTGCTGACCAATCCACTGGTGCTGGTGCGAGAGAAGGGCCTCTTCAACGTGGAGGTGGTCGCGCCCCTGATGCCGCTCACGATCGCGACCCGTGGAGAGAGTCGGCTGCTCGAGTCGCAGCTGAAGAGACCAAGCGACACCGCGCAGAAGGAGCTGCTGAACGGAGTGGGGCATCCAAGGCTTCGACGCCATCCGAGCTGCTCGACCCCATGGACGCCGTCGACGACGCGCGGCCTCGCAGGACTTCCTCACCGCGCAGCTCGACGCGAAGCTCGCCACAGTCAAGCAGGAGGTCATCGCAGAGATTGCCTCGCAGCTCAGAGGACCTCTGGGCGCTGTCGTCGGCCAGCAGCAGAAGCAAAATGAACAGCTCACGGGGCAGATCCAATCGCCCCAGGATGCCTCATCCAAGCTCGAAGCAGGTCAACAAGACCTACGTGCTCAAGTTGCAGAAATGCGACAGCGGCTACACATGCAAGAAGCGCAGATCCCGATCAAGGAACACGAGAACCTCATTGAGTGGGACAGAGAGGCAAACACCAGTATCATTGTCGGCACGGCAGCGAAGAATTACACAGCGGATCAGCCCAAGCGCAACATCGAACCGATCATGGACAGGTGCGAACTCAGTGAAGGCCCCGCGCGGCGCTTCCTCGTTCAGTTCAGTGCGGACGCCAACGCATCGGCCCGTAAGGTCAGGGCCTTCTATAGCAAGCTCAAAGGCTCAGATGGCGGATGGCTCAAAACAGAAGTTCAAAGATCACGCGGACATGCTACTCGACTTCTCTTCGGCCTCGATCGCTCAGGGAAAACAGCGCGGAGAGAAGTCCAGGCCAAGAAGCTCGCCCAGTTCTGCAGGGCAGAAGACGACGCGAAGCGGTGGCGAGGTGACCGTCAGCAGGGCATCGCCTACTGCAACCATGTGCCAGTCCTCTCCATCGCGGTGGGAACCACAAAGGATGAAGCCACCTGGCTGCTCCTCAACTACAACGGCTGCCTCCAACCTGGGCTCAATCGAGAGGAGGTCCGCAGACAGTTCGAACAATTGTTCACGCTTCGCGCATCCCCGCCAGCCCATGTCAAAACAGCAACTCTAGCGAAGCATGTCGACAGTCGTGTTTTTCAGGCGTGTTTCCGCCTGCCCCCGCATATCTCCCCTTTTCCTCCTTCCCCCCGCCTCCTTGCACATCCTCCTTGTGGTGGGGGCGGGGGGAGGACGAGGCGGAGGAGGGGGGAGAGAAAGCGCTCCTCGTGGTTTGAGTCGTTCGGGCTTCTCGTCCTGGTGTGAGTCGTTCGGGCCCTTCTTCCTGGTGTGAGTCGTTAGGGTTCTTCGTGGTGTGAGTCGTTCGGGCTCTTCGTCCTGGTGTGGGTCGTTCGGGCTTCTCGTGGTGTGAGTTGTTCGGGCCCCTCGTCCTGGTGTGAGTCGTTCGGGCCCCGTCCTCCTGCCCGTCCAGAAAAGACGCCCAGGCGAGTAGAGGGTCGTCCTGATGGGCTTTTCGGCGTCTTGGGTGCTTCGGGGGGGGCCTCTTTGGGCCGTGTGGGATCCTCTTGGGGGGCCTCCTGGGGGCCTCTTGGGGCCATCTTGGGGCCTCTTGGTGCCTCCTGTGCGCTTCTTGGGGCCATCTTGGAGGAATTCGATCAAATAAGAGGGGAGCTTTAATAGCGCTGCCCCCTCAGAAGGCCAAAACTGGGGCCACCACTTAGTATAATCACAGTGATTTTGGCTTGAAGAAGAGGGGCTTTAATTAGCAGCTCCCCCCTTCAAGAAGCCAAAATGGGGCCAACACCGTAGTAAAATCAAGATCTGGGCTGCACAGAAAAAGGGTGGCACTCTGTTCTGCCCCCCCCCCCCCCCCCCCCCGTCGGGGCCGCAATCCTCGCGGGGGGTGTCGAATTTTAGCCCTCCCAGGAGTCGAAAATGACAAGCCCCCCCCCACCCCCACCACCACCACCAACGACCCGCGAAAGGACTTCTCCAGGCCCAGGGGGAGGGGGTAGGGGGGGGGGGGGAAGAAGGGGGGTTGCGAACAGAGAGAGCTCGCTAAACCACTCACGCTCAAATGGCTGGTGGGATTCTTCCAGACCTCGCTCGCAGCGCAGAACGTCGAGTGGCAGATTTAACAGGACCTTAGCCCCTGGCGGGGGACGCGCTCATCGAAACCGATCTC